GGGAGTGTGCTCATGGCTGGCTGCTGAGCAGAGCTCTGTCGGGCCGAGAGAAAATCTTTTAGATAAACAATTAATAAACACCGAGACCGAGAAAAGAACTGAAGCCTCTTCTGTTCCTTTGAAACGCGGGCTGCCCCAAGGCCACCCCGGGCCTTTCCAGGCCATCCAAACAGCCAAAAACCGGACACAGGAGCAGAGGATGTTTCCCACCATGTGCTCATCCAGACAATGGAGGGTTTGACTTTTAACCCTTTAGACTCTCCCAAATGTCTGTCCATTGAATCCTTCTTTGCTGTCCAGTGGTGGAGATCCCTTCCTGACATCCTGATTGGAGCTCAGGTGCTGCCACAGTAAGGAGCTGACCCTCCCAAACATCCCAAACCCAGGCCACCCCTGGTAACAACACAAGGGAGGTAAAACTTAACTATAAATCTATAAAACTTCTCTTAACACATATATATGATATTTCCTTTCATTGTGAGAGTCAGCCATGGCATCACTCACCTAGCACACCTTCCATCAGCACATTCTCAGCCACACTCCCAAGCAGGGCCTTACCTGCCACGGTGAGCTTGGCTGTCCTGCTCACGATGGTCCCCAGGCTGTCCACAGTTGCCACACACTGATAATATCCCTCATCGGGTTTGTTGTGCTTGGAGTGCACCACGCTGTTGATTAACAAAGAGCCGTCGGGCAGCAGCTGGCGCCGGTCGTCGGACACGAGGTTGAGGAGGGAGCCGTCCTTCCTCCACTCGATCCGCGGCGGGGTCTCACACTGCGCCGAGCAGTTCATCACCACCGACATCCCTCGCACTGCCACCACGTCCAGGGGCTCCACCAGGAAGTAGAAAGGAGTGAAGGTTCTCACAAGTGATTCTGTAAAGCGTGAGAGAATTTCTGGGGTGAGTTTTGTACAGTTTTTAATGTTAAAATACTGGAACGAGCACAAGCATGGCTCACATCCTGCCCCTGAACTCATTCAGCCACCTTGGTCTGCATGGCAGGGTTTGCTGCTTTGATTATTCTCATCATAGACCTTCAGATTCCCAACATTTTCATCCCTAAAATGTAATTCCCTGCTCTGCTCTCAGTCTCTGTGGTGTGGGTGCCCTCTCAGCAGTGTTGTCCTTTGGTTTGTGGAACCAACATAAGGAACCATCCAAACAGTTCAGCCCTCAAGACAAAGTCTCCCATTCTGAGCTTAACACATCTTGCAAGTGTCATACAGTGGTTTTTTTTTTTTTACTTCTATTCTAGTCCAGGATAAACATGATTACTTTTTCATTTTAAGTATTCCCCAAAGAGTTCTGTAATTAACATCTAGTTTGCATTAAGAAGTGAATTTTAATTACTGTCTTTCTGGTGTATTTGGTCAAGCAGAATGATTGTGTGTCAATATCACTTTGACTTGTCTTAATTTAATCATCTGTAGAAAACAGAAGACAAATTCTTCCAGAGAAGAACAGGTTTCCAATCAGCACACCCTGGGTTCAGGGAAAAGGGCATCTCAGTTTTTAAAGCCCACCTTAGAAATAACATTCACAGAACAATAACAAACTCCTGCACTCATCTCAAAACCACTTTCTCCCTCACCATTGACCATTTCATCTCATGGTCAATTAAAAAATAATGAAATATTTTAAGACCACCTGAAAGACAAATATGCATTTAATAACATGATTTGTTTAATTAAGCCACAGAATAATTCTGGGTTTTGAGGAAAAAGCACAAACTCTGAAGGCGACCTTTACTTGCAGACAAAGGCTGTCCTGGAAACATTGCAGCTTCTCCCATTGCTTGGTTGTTTGTGGGGTTTTCAAAATCGGATTTACCTTCTAAAATGACCTTAATTAACAAATTGATGTGATTTCCTCTATCACCGAACTGCACAGAGAGTCCCTGGTCTCCAAAGAGCCTTCAGCCTTCCCCCGGAGGGACTGCAGCCTTCCTGCACAGAGCCCATTGTCCCTGCTGCTCACAATTCACAGCAACTTGCAGATAAGGCAGGAGTGGTGTGAAAGAAACAACAGATAAACGGGGCTTTGGCAGCTGATAGCATTCAAACGCTCTCTTACCTTCAGGAATTCAAAGAGGAAATAAAGGAAAACATTCTAGAAAGATTGACATTTCTCCAGTGACAGAGTCAGGCTGGAGAGCTGCTAGATTGGGATCCAAATCCTTGGGATTGTCTTTCCAAGGATAATAGAGGCATCCCCAAAAAAAAAAAACCAAAACCCCAAACCAAATATACAGAACAAAAAAATCAATAAAACTTAAAAACTATCTAGGAGCTGCTTATGTTCCTCTGGTTTGTACAAGGGCACCTATGTGTGGATGTTCTCAATTCTCTGTGCCTCTGAAATCCTCTGAGTGTCGGCTCTGAAGCAGCAAAAGGCAGAGCAGAAACAAGAGCCATGAACAGCAGGAGAATCTTTGACCTTTTTATCCCTGTAATCTCTCCCAGTGCAGCAGAAACATAAAGTTCTTATCAAAATTAAAGACTGAGCTGCACAGTCGCTGGGCTTTCCAAGGGAAGCATTTCCCCCCACCTCAATTCCAGGCTTCTCCAAGTTTTTCCAGAATAAATCTGGACCTCTAAGAGAACAAAACACACTGGTCTGAGTTTTGCTTCACTCTGGCTTTTCAAAGAAAAGTCAGAAAATCTTTAGAAGGGGAATGGCAGCTTTTTGTTTGCCCTGCCAGCCTCCAGTGCAGACTGGAGCAGATCTAACCCATCGATAGAGTAAAATTGTTCTTGCCCTGGAAGCAACAATGTATCCAAGGAAATAGAGCAGAGGATGCCAAGAGAGGTCACAGCAAGACCTAAGAGCAGCTCCACAGGGATCATAAACCTTGAAAAAGAAAGGAAGCAGAATCTCAGCCAGGCTTCAGAGGTACCAAACTGCTGCCAAGACAGCACAAGCTGCCTTGTCCCAGGATATCACTGCGCTCCTGCACTGAGTGCACTGGGGACAAAATGTGAAGGGTTGGTGAATAACTCCATCCAGGCTTGAGGGAAGTTAAAAACTGGTCTGTGCTCTGGTTTCAGAGGATCTGCAGTCGTGTTTGGGGCACTCTGGAGAACCACACTGCAGCCAGCTGAGCTCGAGTCCCCTTCAAGCCTCAATTCAGCACAAGAAGGGTTTGTACACCCTTGACCTTAATAAACTTCTGTTTCTACCAGTGAGCCATTTCTCCCACTCTGTCCACCTAGGGATTACTCAGCTCGATGACAGCACCTTATTTTGGGTAGCATGGGTGTATGTTTGGTGCAGGGAGTCCTTCCCCTTTGCACACACACAGGTGGGTACACACCACTGCCTCCATTGGTGCTAGCACTGCCCAAGGAGCTCATGCCAAGTCTGTCTCCCTGCCAGGAACAGGAACAGATAAATCTCACTCATTCCCACCAGGGTGGAATTTATGTCACCCCAGATCTGCTCTGGAGATGAGTGGCAGGGAGCCAGATGTGCCAAAACACAACAGAATGCCCTGGCACAGACAAGATCTCAATGAGCCACAGACACGGAGTCATTTCTGTGTTCTGGAAACTCCACAGCTCCCAGACTCACCCTGCCAGGGC